TAACATTCTGTGATTCTGTGATTCTGTCTCCCTTATCCACCAGGAATTTATTGTACCACAATTCAAAGACCTCTCAGAAAATCTGCAAATTCACAGGTGGAAATAAGGAACATACACGTTAGCTTGAACTCGATAAACTGAAACATTCCACCCTTGAGCCATCGCCAGAACATACACTGTGTGTTCTGTTGCGCTCTGAATTTTTAATGATTTTTGCTGAGATTTGTCAGTTCAAATTTAAGAAACAGAACCCACGTGGCAGCCAGTTGAAGACAACCTGACCCGTCAGCGCTGTAAGGTATCAGAGGTGCGCTTTCAGCTGGACGCTGTGCCACGTCACTGTTCAGGCTGTTACCTGGACACCGCCTCTTCCATAGGGAAAAAAATACAGGATTAAACAGTTGTACATGATCCTCCTTCTGCTACGTGAAGATGGTCCTGCAACTATATAAACAAGTTCTTTCAAAACTACCTAAATGCTCGGATAAAAAGTGTATACTTCTTTAACTCAAAGTGAAAACAAATTGGAGAAAATTGCAGAAGTATGTTGGAAGCGCAGTGTGAATGTATGTTCCACTGTGATGCTTTCTCAAGAGAGAAAAAGAGGAACCAACACCAAATATAATGGATTTTCATTTATCCCAATAGCCTCAAAGGTGCACCTGGAACACAGCACACAGAATCCTCATCAGTGTCATTCTTTGCCATGAACAATACTGACACTGTAATGTAGATGTCAGCAAATATGGAAAGCCAGGACCTAGTAACTGTCCCTCCATCCTCTGCAGAAGGGTGATACTGGCTTACATGAGATCACATTGGGGGGAATTCAGATAACTGTTGGGTTTTCACGCATATGCACAAATTCTCAGCTTCAGCAACTTGTTCTGTTCAAAAAATGCTTGGATACCAGGCGGTATGTTTGCTACCCCTTACCATTTGCTTTTATCAGTCCTAGAAGTATCAGCCAACCAACCCAGCAGATAAAATAACAGTTTATGGGTTACCCGAGTAACCCGCAGCCTGAAGAGCACTGAGCCGAGCTACCTGCAAATCCGTACAACCAGGGAGCACGGGCTGTTCCGCGGTGAACATCAAACAAGCCGCGCTAATGACGAACAGCTTGACCCATCTTGCTCCAGGAAGACTTCCCTGTAGAGAATTCCCACACTTTCATTTGGCAATCGTAATAAGTGTTCACATCGCGTGATGGAAGAAGGAGTCTTGCATACCAACACGCTGTAGATTACAATCTTGATAGCAGAAAATACCTTATTTGTAGTTAAATTCTACTTACCACCCACCTTGTTTTCCTCAGCACCTTAAGGGGAATGAAATCCTCTATTCCAACTATTTTTTCTTTCTGTCAAGACTGTGATTTATTTAGATTATCTGAAAGCCTAGGAATGAAATTTCTGTACTTCATGGTGGCAAATACCAAACACCACATTATTTATTCAACTGTTCAACACCAGTAACACTCTAAGTGGAAACAAACAACTGTTATTTCTCCTCTTACTAGAAACCATGCAGCCAATTCCATTTGATGTTGAGACACAAACTTTGCAAAGAATACAGCTGGTACTGTTCTAGACCCAGCTAAACCCAACTGTATCCCAGCCCACAGCCCCAAATTCCCCTACTGCTTCCTAAACCGTTCTCCCCGCTTTGAGATAACTCGTTAACGCATGCTCTAGAGCGCACGCACAAACAGGCCATTTTTCCTACCCTAGGGCTCTTGGAAAAAAAAAAAAAAATCTCACAGGGTAGGAGTATGTCTGGAACAACCAAGTAACAAAGCTGCTTGTTAGTCCGTTGAAGTTTTGTGTGGCTCGCTAAGTCCTTGGACCAGATTTACTTCATTTACTGTTCCTAGCTCATGATGTGGTTTTGGCACCAGACAGCAGAAAGCTAACTCCAAAAATCAAAGTTCCAGAAAGCTAACTTGCTGAAGGCAATGCATGATGAACTAACCTTTTGTAGCAAAGGAGACAAACAAAAATTTAACCCAAAGCATAAACAGAATAGTAGCCAGCGGTGTAGGGGGGGAGTAAGGTTTAAAGAAGAAACACATGGAAATGACGCAAATTTTGCAATTCTTTCCTTGGCGTTTCAAGATAAAGGTTCGAGAACAAATTCCGCTTCAGGAAAACTACTAACCACTAGAAAAAGAAAGTTGGAGACTTCTTGGAGAAGCATAAGTAGGAAAGAGACCTGGCATCAAGACATTTCATGCTGCTATCCACCCTCTCACTGAGCAGAGCTCGCCACAGGCAAGTCTACTTTATCCTGTATTTATTTTCTGATCAGTAAAACGGGAACAGAGGCATCTCATCCCACCTGTTTGGGAAAGATCCTGCAGGTGAGAAGTTACTGATTATTAGAAACATTCTCAAAGGTTTTGTCAACTACAGCATGTTCTCGAACAGCAAAATTTTGACATAAACCAGTAAGAAAGCCCATCTCAGCCCATCTCAAAACCAGATTTTTCACCAGGCCCCACCTGATGGGAGAAACTCATCAGCAGAACCATCTTCTAACCCTGCTCTAGCTTCCTTCGTTGGGTGACTATATTTCCTTGACGTACGCACTCCACTTTGTTAAAAACTTGGATGGGAAATCCACACGCCTGCATACTTGCCCTGATGTTCCTAAAAATTTATCTGGGGAATAAGTTTATATCTCGCCCAAAAAAAAGGACAATTTGCTGCCCTACCTGTTATCTTATTATATCCCCTAACTAACCATATCATATTCTTGGTCAGTTTGTGTATGAAGACATTTACACACAATATATCTTCCCATAACCACCGCGTGCTGCAACTTTCGAATGCCTGTGATCCTTGGAGAGTGAAGGAATCTCACACAACCTCCCTTTGGATGGCACAAACAAGACAACTCATCTTCACAACTTCAAAATGAAAAAATAATCAGATGACTCAACTAGGAGTTTGTACTGCAAATAAATGCTTTACAAAGTCCTCACAAAAAATTATCTCCTCTCCCAATATACACCTTCACGATGGCACAAGAACAGCTAGCGGAGTGGGACACTGCCTGAATATGAAATGAGGAGAAAAAGGCAGAAAATGGTCCCATATTTAAAGAATGAGGAATTTGGGTGGGGCAACTTTGCAATCACCAGAGGAATAGAAAATGGGGCAAAATCACAGACCTCAAAATACCAGAGAAACGATAAAAACTGCATCAGGAGAGAGATCCATGTGCTGTGGCAGACATCAGCTGCCTTAAATACATCACAGCACGACTGAACTTCTCTGGAAGGCAAGGCCCCATGAGATGGAAAGTTTGCCAGCAAAAAACCCCAAAGAGGCTTCTAGCATAGGAGCAGCGCAGAAACGTTTCATCTCAGAACTGGTGCTGAAAACAGCCCGGCGCTGCAGCACAGGCCACGTTCAGCACCAGTTGCTCATGACAGATAATTTCCCAACCGCTCGTTATCCTAACCCATGTCTGCACATAAACATCCACCCCAGCACCTCACGCTGCAGGGCTGCCCGGGGATTTTACATGGGAGCGCACAAGAAATCCCATTCCAGCACACGGGCAAGACGCACGCTGCATTTATCACGTGCTGCTCGCTGCACTGCCGGAAACCAGAGACTCGCTAGCTCTTAACTGGCGATTTGGGAATTTTTTTGCTCAATTTATTTGGGATGGGGCCACATTTCCTACTCATGCTGTTAAAAACAACCCTGAAAAAAAAAAAAAAAACAGTTTAGCACAGGAGGGATGGTCCACCTCCTGTAAAGCTCAAGGCAGCTAAATGCTTGGGCAGAGTTTTTGGGGAAAGCGATGGTGAGCGGGGAGCCACGTGGGGCAGCAGGACAGCAGGCACCTCCGGAAGGTCTGCGGGTACTTACGGACACAGAGACAAGCCACCAGCTTGGCAGCCTCGTCGGGCACCGGGCAGGTGGGGAAGATGGGCTTGAGCAGGTAGGTGGCAAAGACCAGAGCCACGATGTACTGCGAGGAGGGTCGGATGATGAGCAGCTCTATCCAGAGCTTGAGGAAGAGCGGTACACCTCCAGCATGTAGGCGTAATCCCCGCCGGATTTGGTGATGGTGGTGCCCAGCTCAGCGTAGCACAGGGCACCCACGATGGAGAAGGCCCCGCAGACAGCCCACACCACCAGCGACAGTCCCGGCGAGCCCGCAACACGCCGGTCGGGGTGACGAAGATACCGGAACCGATGATGGTGCCGACGATGATGGCCACGCCGTTGAGCAAA